GAAAGCATGAGACAGGTGTATCACTTTGCATGCTATGGTACCAGATTGTATTTAATATAAGCTACATCTATGAAGCAACAGTACTCCCAGTTACAAACAAAACAAAGCAAAACAAAATTACTTTTAGGGAGCTATCGTATTGAAAGTCACCCCATAAAATGAATTGATACATTGAAACTTTTTCAATTTAAAAAAGAGAGAAGTTACTCAGAGCTTAGTTTCTGAGACAATATTTCTTCAGAAACAATTTAACATCTTAGCTATTTCAAGGCCATATTTACATGACTGCCTCATTATACTGGTCCCCCTTCCTTAACATTCTTTCTGATGTACTTGAAGGACCAATGCTAACATAGCTGAGGAAAGCAAATGGCAAGTGGTCCTGAAATTTATACGGTAGAGAATTGGAATAAGTAGCAATATAATATATTGTTTACTATAGCAAGTGCCCTCTGTTCTCTAAAGGTCAAAAGCACTGTAACCTTAGAGTTACAGTTTCTGATTGTTCCCAGGGTTAAATACATTATCAAAATTAATGGTTCAAGCCCCTCAACCTTCAGATATATGAGTATTCATGCCTCCATCTGCTGAACTGTTCAACTAAAAATAGCATTCTTTGGCCTTCTCTCTCCTAATATTGTGCCCCTGAGGCAGAGAAAACCATGCCTTAGATCAGCACAGAGCAACAAGGCTTTCCTGTATCTTGCTTATTTTAAAGAAAGAAAGAACTTGAGTACACTAATGTAAGAAGGGTCTTTGCTCTTTATATAACTTTTTTTCCTACTTGATAACAAAATCTCAGGCTTTCAAGGTAGAACTATTAATGCTGTTAAGATTTATCCAGGCTCATTAATGTGAGAAATCACAACCTTCGAGGAACAAATGAACTGAAACATCAGGTAAAGAGGACCAGTTCCAAGCAATGTGGCCGGGTGCAGATGAAGGTGGTGAGGTAGGGTGATGGCGGCACGTACATGTTGTGGGCTTTTCTTCCAAAGAATTTCTGTTTAGAAGTAAAACCAGTTAACATAATTGTAATGCTTCTGTAGTGTCAATGGTCTACCATGATCATGACTGCTAACAGAGCTGTGACATTTTAGCTTGTCAAAGGAGGGAATAATTAGAAAAGAGAGCGGGTTTTAAAATTGATAAAGCAAGATATTATTAAATTTTCTCTCTACTTTTACTTACGATTTCAAATGTGAGTGTCTGTTGTAGCTCAGACTTGTATGTCTACTGTGCTTTCCATAGACATCCCCATAAACATCGGATGCTCATACCAGGAAAGTTTGGGAAACCTGCCTTTCAAACAAGGTCAAGGTCTTTTCTAAGCAGTGTACCATATAAGCAAACAGCAAAGGTTTCCTGACTTGCAAAAAAAAAAAAAAAAAAAAAAAAAAAAAAAAAAAAAAAAGTGCAAAAAAATGAAAGCAAGAAAACAGGAAGAATTAACAAAAACCCAGGAAACTTTCAAATGGGCCTAACCTTAAAATGCAAAATCTGAGGAGTCCCTCGCTAACTGGCTCTCTTTTTATCCTAATGTGAGTGACAGACATGGGGCATATGCTTGCTTCTAGATCAGCAGCACTGCTACAGAACTATGCAGATCTGGCACTCCCAGAGATGACATCAGACTTTCCAGAAACCCAAGAGAAGTCAGATTTGGCAGCATCAGGGGTCCGTGATGGTGGCAGGAAGAGAAGTCAAGCTACATGAAAAATTAGTCAGAGAAGTGATTGGGTAGAAAACTGCCGATGGAAAAAGGTGGATGGGAGCGATCTCAACACCTCAAGAGAAAATAAAAGTCTGAGAGAGGAAGTCTTGATTGTGAGCCAAGACCACCTGCTTTCACATTCGTCCAAGCACTTAAACATTTAACAAACTATCTGTCCTGAGTGGGGAAGCTCGCTAACTGGCATCACACAGAAAGTGTTGTCCCTCACATGCAGTTATCTCTACATTTTAGCAATCCTAGGCATGGCAGATCTTCAGAATGTCCAGAAATACGGTACCTTCTCTGCAGCCAAAAGAAAGCCTTACATAAGAAATCCCCTCTTGCTGTCTAGAAGACAGTAGATACTCTGACAGTATATGCCTGGTCATGTCTGGGTGGGAAGCCCCTGTATAACTTATATCAAAGTGACAGGGAAAGAGGGAGGCAGGCAGCAAGCTCTGAACTCTTCCTTAGGCTACTTCCAAGCTGGCTTTTGATCTTGTCCTCTTTTTTCTTCTTAGGACTGAGTTTTCTCTATTATTTTTCAAAAATACAGATTCAAAAGCAGTGTAGGAAATAATATCAGAGGGATACTCTATTGATTATACAGTATTTGATATGTATAGACTGCCAAGCCAATAGGATATGAATGAATATACAGCTTTGCTTGATATAATAATACTTTCTTTCTTTTTTTCTTTTCTTTTCTTTCTTCCTTTCTTTCTTTCAAGTTGAGTTTCCCATCCTAGGTTTGAACATAACATTTAGTATTAAATCTAACCCAGAAAATTAAAGTATGTTTCAGTCTGAGGTAGCCTGTCTCCATTTTTTTTTTTTTTTTTTTGGTGATTCAGCAGATAGCTGGCAGCCCTTCAGTAGCTAATAGTCCTGGAGAGGGACTCCAGTGATATGAGAGAGAAATCAAGCATGAAATTAGAGAGATGAGGACTAGACCCCTATAGAAGAAAAGGGCTTGGTTTTCAAAAGAGCCATAAAAGCTATCTTCTCCCAAGTGGTAAGAATATCCCACAAAAACAACAAAGAGCTTTAGTGGACATTAAATATGAAAGGGATACTATAGACATTCACGGGGCAACAAGCAACCAGTCAGGCCCAGGCACTGGGCCCTACCTCAGCCAGAGAAAACAAAATTCAGAAACCTGAATCGGACAGTTAGAAATCCTGGGTACTAATTCTGACTCCAGGAATATTGTGCATCCTTGTTCTCTCTGAACCTCCAGTGTTTTGCCTATATAAGCAGAATTATATTTATCAACTTTGCAGGGTTGTTATATGGACAAATGAGATCTTTTTAAAAATGTTATGTGTTTATAGACATTATACAGCACTATATACAAAAGGAGAAAGAGAGTCAGGGAAAAGGATGGTTCTGAAGATGGTTCCTTGTAAAGAATTTGCCTCAATATACAGCATTAAACAACCTAAGTCATTAGGGGCATTGGCTTGAGGCTTGCCGCCTTCTATGAAAGAAAAGGAGCAAAAATGAGCCTCCTTAGGAATGAGAAGAAGGGAAAGGTCATATTTTAGCGTTTAGGTCGAATGTTTGCCACTTTAAGGAAAAAAAAAAAAAAAGCCTAGAATATGACTGAACAATCCAGTCCCCCACCCAATGAAGCACCAATGGAAGCATTCATACCTCAATCTGTTTGTGGTTGTAAGAGTGGCCACCACCATGTTCAAAGGTGTCCAAACTCCTGCCAAAACGGTCACTTAGGCCCTTTAGCCTTGGGTTAATTTGTGGGTGGGAGACATGACCCTTCTGTTTAGTAGCATATTCAGAAAAAAAAAAAAAAAAAAGACAAAACATACTGTCAGAACTCATGAAACAGAACATATGTTTCTAAATCCAGGGTACTGACCACACCAAAGAATAGAAAGTAGAAGGCTGAGCGCCCAGACACTTTCACAGAAACTTGGTTATAGGATCAAGCAATGGTACTGGTTTCATACTTCTGCCTCTGACTCGAGAAGACACTCTAGCATAGCAATACGGAGAAGGAGACACAGAGTAGGTTTATTATGAGGGAGGTTTCTTTTAGATTTCTTTTAGATTTTTCCAACTGCAGTGAGTTCCAGTGTTAGCAGTGGGGAAGGTGAAGTTTTGGAAGAGAGGCAGGGTTGCTGCTCCTGTTAGGCAAAATGTCTAGCTCTGCTCGGCAGTCTATAGTGGGTAACATTGTCCCGGCTTTCTGGATGAGGCTTATAACAAAAACTCAGAGTATTGCAAAAATTATTTATTTGCAGCCCCAATTGAAAAGACTCACAATGATGTTTTTTCATGGTAAAATATTTGCACATTTCTTATAATCAAGCCGTAGAGGGAATAGCAAAGAAGAAAAAAAAAAAAAATGCCTAGCCAGATGCTATTCCCTTGTAAAAGAAAACTCAAAAATAATCACAGTAAATTGTAAGAATACAAAACTATCTTTAAACTTCCCACTGTGTTGAAATTCAAGTTCTTCACTGTCACATATTTTCTAACTGTTTGAATACTGAAGGTTTAACCATTATTTTAATGATACTATCTTTCTGTTTTTGTTAAAATACATATTCATATTAAAAGTCAATTTCTCATTAAAATGTCAGTGCTAGAAGGATATAAAGATCACCTGGTCTTATTATAAACCTCTCACTTTACCATGAAGAAGATAAGGTACAAATGATTCTTTTATCCAGCCTCCAAAACACTTTCTCCCCCATTTTCACCTCATAAGTACAGAACCCTAATCCAGAATGTGGTGGGATGCCATGCCTGGACTTCTGGCATGGCATGAAGCTGAAGATGAGAATGAGGGTACATATATTCCAGAACAATATATTGACATTTTACCAAACAGTTAAGGTAATTTGGTGATAACAACTCCTAGTCTATAAGCTGCAAGAAGGAAAATGCCCAACATTGTTTTCTATTTTGATGTTTATGTGTAAAAGATCATCTGAACATAAATGGAGACATGGATGGAAAAGGGATAAGGAAAAAGCGATCACATCCAATAGTAGCAGCCAGCAATAAAAATGTAAAACCAATAACTCACCCGACAGAAAATATAGAGTATTAAGTCATACTACCATTTTTCCCTTAAAAATACTGAAATTGGCAGTTTTCTCTTCTATTTTCAGTATGGTAAGCACACAAGGTGTTAATCCTTCTAGGCTACGCTTAAAAATTATTTAACATTCAGGCCATTATTTAGCATACAGCTGGTTAGCAGTTTTCCACTAAAGAACTGGCTGGTATCCCACATTTTTTTCTTCTGGCACTTACCTGGAGCTGTAAAGGGCTGAGTCCAGAAGTAGCAGCAGCTGCCATTGTTGATGAAATGAACTGTACAGGGTAGTTATCACCTGTCGGAAAGAACAATGCATACAGGTTTAGACAATGCACAGGGAATCGCAGCAGACAAGTACAAACATGGTCCTTGGATCGCCTGAGCTTTACAACATTGCTCGAAGCCCAAACATCTGCAGAAACAAAAGGCTCAGTTGGGCACAGACTTGCAGTGCTGCCTTGGAACTTTTTGTTAACAGATAGCTGGTAGGCAAACTGGCAAAACATGAATGTGATGTTAAAAAAATTAAATGTGCAATTCAAGCATGTTCACTCCATTACAAATCTTGTAATACATCATTTTTTTAAGAGTAAAAAAAATATCTTAAAGCCAGGCTGACACTCAGTTCACTGAGAATGTATTAAGGTTTTTATGTTGGAACAACAAAAAAGTTTTGGCTTGGTAGGCAAAGCAGAGTATTAGAGTCCAAAAAGATTATGAGCTATTGACTGTCCATAACCCTAAACTTTCTTTTATAAAAAACAAAGAAAAGATTTTAAAAATGCAACCTCTTCAATTTGATAGGGGCGAGAAGGGAGCTAATCTTATCTGCCAACATTCTGGGAAATGCCTGGTATCTCCGCCAGAGTGGAAACCATAGTTTTCTGGATTAACTTCTGGTGGAACCTAGTAGAGAATCAGGCACACAAGGTGCTTCCCACTTATTCTTTGAATGATTTGGTTCAACAGTCACACATATTACACGGGATATCTGCTGCATTAAACATCTGATAGAGACTGAGCATGCTTCAGCAGACATCGATGCTGTATCCTCACGTCTGCCTCTATACCACGATGAAACATGGGAATGGAGAACCTTCTGTGACCCGAGAACACAGGCCGCGTGCGGCGACATGAAGATCCAAGAGAAAGTCATGAGGAACATATTGTGATAGTGGTGACGGAAATCAAAATTAGTACTCGTGGATAAATTACACAATATCAGTGATTTAATGGAGTATCACTTTGGCTGCAGCTACTTATTTAAAGTCGGTGTTATGTACTATCTCTAGGCTATATTTTAATAGGATGTTCCTCCACACATTTTTGACATTTATAATAATCATGCTGTTTTGCATGAACTTTTCCACACTGAAAGCTGGATGTTATAATGAAGAGACAGTGTAGAAAGAATCACAGCAATAAAGGTAGTCAATTGGAAAGCAGTAAAATCTCTTTTTTTTTTCTGTGCGGACACTAATACCTGGAGCCTCTGTGGTACCCCCCAGTTCCTTGGAGCTCATCGGGCTTGCCACACCAAGGGCGCCTCAGCTGGCCCAATGTAAATGTTAAGTTGCTTTCACTTTTAACAAATTGTTAGCTTCTAATCGACACAGTCTCTTTGCATCATATCCATAATACCTCATCAGACCATTGAGCACAGTGTGTGCTTGCACACAGTCCAGTAACAATTGGCTTCTGATTGCATACGGAGCACTGCGACAACGCACTCACTAACACTAGATTGTGTTGGTCTCCTATGGAGTAATGTTCAAAATATCTGATCTTGTTTTTCCCCTTCCATGAGGTTGATTTCGGTTTGCAGGGCTACATGAGCTTTTTAAAAAGGATAACTAGGCCAAATTATTTTTTATAGTAAATGACTGCCGCTTTATGCTTAAATAATTTGGCTGATCTTCTTGATATTTAAACAAAATTATCTGAAGAAAGAATACCCCAATCCAAGTCAAATAGTATGTCTTTGGTTGATATCTTATCAGGTTAAAAAGAATCACAAAACGATACTGAATTAATGATGCTTCAAAAATAGGGGAAAAAAATCACCATTCCAACCATCAACATGGACTGCCTCCCGGAACATTTTAGAGCTGTTCTTTCTTTAAATATCATGCATTATTCATACTAACTCTAAACCACAACCCCCCTCCCTGTAAGTTTAATACCAGTGCTTTATTTGTACTAAAACATTTTTCATGTCAAACATATTTAAAAAAATCAAACTCTAAAAGAACTCCCTGGGGCACTCCTTTTTTCATAGCTGTCATGCTTCTATGCTATGAAATGGCTGATTTTTTTTTTTTTTTATAGTTTTTGGCTTGCCAGTTAACTTATTACTATCTCTACCACACCCGGTAGTACTCTCCAGCTCACCTGCTGGCTACAAACAGCTTTCTTTCCACTGCTGACATGCATATTTTTTAAATGTTCTTAACCTTTCTGCTGGTAGAATCTGTGTATCGGAATACAATCTTTTGAAAGCTGTTTCTTCAGAACATATCACTGAATCAATACTCAAAGTAAAAATGAATACATTAAAGCAACAGCATATATTACAGAGAATGATTAGAAGAAAGGGAGAAGGGAAAGGCAGGAGAGGAAGAGAAGAGTGAAGAAAAGAACAGGGTTAAAAGTAGCACAGAAAAATGTTAAGAGGGAGGCGGATTTCAGGTATTGCGAGTTTTAATTTTTTAATAACAAAGTTATGTGCTTCACCCCCCCCCTCCCCTTTAATTTTCTCTTTGTAAGAGTTGGTCAAGTACAAGTTCTCAGTGGCTGACTTGGCAAGAAATCAGTCAACATGTTGTAGCAATTTTTTTCAAATTTGTCTCTGGATTTGAAATGCTTGCGTGAGGATCCATTCTTTCTAAATTTGTACAAAGGAAGATGAAGCCTGTTGGAACAGGCTGGCTTTAGGCACTGCTGTAATCTGGCCCTTGCTACTTCTAGTGTAAAAAGACAACCTCCAAAAGCCAATTTGGGAAATAATGCCCATTCTGTAAATTCATCTTTCCAGGCTTCTAGATTTTCCAACTGACTATTTTTAACTGAAGATTACAAAACAAATACAAAACACGATTTAAAACCTATGGAAAATTTGCCTGACATTAGTTTCACTTGTCACAATAGGTAACATTCCTTTGGAACCAAAACAGCTGTACAGCAAGAGTCTCTGAATGAGAGAAGTAACTTTTTCTCATTTTCAAGAAAAGTGAAAAGTAGTCAGAACTTAGTAAAACTTAAACACAGGAGAAGGAGGAACTTGTACTAAGAACCTAGGACCCATTAGACTCGGGCTACCTCCTGCCGGAATACTCCTAAGTGTCTGTAGTTCAAATATCAATTTCATTTTTATTAAAAAGTAAAAAATCTCATGGCTAAAAATCTGTCCATTTCCTTTGATTCTTCAGAAAGACAAGGGACTGGATTGTAATCTCCTGGGATACTAACTTCAGAATTAACCTACTGAGGAAATCATTTAGAGAGGCTGCAAGGAGTAGAGAAATAAAAATACATTAACCTAGGAAACAGGATTCAATGACTTTTCAGTAACTGGTTCAAAATCTCACACTTCATTTTCTACCCTCTAAAATGGAATCAAAATATACTACATATCCCTAACTATCTCACAGATTATTGTGTGGTGGCATCACAGGATAATGGTAAATTATCTGAATTGCCAAACAACTTATGGGTAGACCCCACTTTTATAAGTTATCCTCATTCTTGCTACAATATGGAAATATTTCATTCACAACCACCAGTACAGACTCGGACTGCCACTTTGCTTCTTGCCTGGATGTCTGCATCGAGAATAGCAAAATGTTACAATCCCTCTATATCCTGAAACAATGTTGTAATCAATCTGAATTTATCTTTATGAGGCATCACACTGCAGAAAAAGTTAGCAGGTAATGAATGACACATTTAGAATCCTAAAAATAAAATTAAACTTTCAATTTGTTCTGGGGACGATTGGACAAATAAACAAAACAAAACAAAACCCTGGCGGGGTGCCTGGATGGCTCAGTGGGTTAAAGCCTCTGCCTTTGGCTCTGGATATGATCCCAGGGTCCTGGGATCGAGCCCCACATCAGGCTCTCTGTCTGGCGGGGAGCCTGCTTCCTCCTCTCTCTCTGCCTGCCTCTCTGCCTACTTGTGATCTCTGTCTGTCAAATAAATAAATAAAATCTAAAAAACAAACAAACAAACAAACAAACAAACAAAAAAACCCTGGCAAGGATTAAAGTATATATTGCTGAGATCACCATGCTGTTACTTCTCTTGCTAAATTTCTCCTCTAGGGACGGCTGGGTGGCTCAGTCAGTTAAGTGTCAGCCTTCAGCTTAGGTCATGATCCCGGAATCCTGGGATTGAGTCCTGCATTGGGCTCCTTGCTCAGCAGGGAGTCTACTTCTCCCTCTGCCTGCTGCTCCCCCTGTTTGTGTTCTCTCTCTCTCTCTGACAAATAATAAAATATTTAATAAATAAAAAAATAAATAAATTTCTCTATTCATCCAGGAGCAGATCAATGATAAGAAAAGTCTTGATCCCAGGGCATTCTCTAAGAGCATTTGCATTGCTTATCATACCTTTAAAGAAGATAAGAATCAAGGATCAATCTTAATTTCTTCATTTATTTCATAGATACATCCAGACTGTTGCCCAATCATATGGAAATCCATGGTATTTGTCAAAAAAGCAACTAAATAAGTGAATGTGGATAAACTGATATAAATCCATCCATTACAGGGCACCTGGGTGGCACAGTCTGTTAAGTGTCCGACTCTTGATTTCCTCTCAGGTCATGATCTCAGGATCATGAAATAGAGCCCCATGTTGGGTTCTGTGCTCAGCACGGGGTCTGCTTGGGATTCTCTCTCTCTCTCCTGCTGCCCACTCATGCTCTCTCTCTCTCTCTCTGTCAAATGAATAAATAAATCTTTTAAAAAAAAATCCCTCTATTATAAGAAATCAAAAAACATTAACTCAAAGTTCATGCCTTAACATAGCTCATCGATGATATAGCTTTTGTATGTGATAGAGGACAGAGTTAAAGTAATCTTGATCTCCAGAAAACTAGGTTAGTTTATGTGGCTGTGCATATTTTCTTCCTGGACCTCAAAAATTACTAATCTAAAGAACCTCCGAAAAACTGCTTTGATTTCAAGTAGATAAATTTAATTATTCAAGTATTCCAGTAACAGTGGTTACAAACCTCAGCTTTATGTATTCTGGAAGATGCAGAAATAGCTAGCATTATAAGATGAATCCACC